TTTGGGTTGGGGCCTGCCGGAGGATCACTAGAGCGAGGCCCATGAGGACCTGAGGCTCCTGTCAGTCACTGTGTGTGTGTGTGTATGTGTGTACAGCAGGTGTGCGTGACAGCATGTCTTGTGTGTGTGTGTGTGTGTGTGAGCCTGTCTTATGCCATCATGGCCTCCTTGGTTCAGGCTGAGCCATTGAGCGTGGAGGTAAGAGGTTAGTGGTTAGAGGTTAGAGGGAAGGAGTCAGTCTGTTTAGAGCTGGAGCAGACTAGCGCACTACTGACCACTATGATGCCACTTCTACCCTGGTTTTAATGGCAGGCAGGCAGGCAGGCAGGCAGCACCTACTTGTTACATGGACAGGAGCAAAGACCACAGAATGCTCCTAGATCGTTCAAATTCTTTTCTGCATCCTTCATGTCCTTATTGATTTGGTCCATTCCCTCCTCGATGCGCTCCATTTGCTCTGATTAAACACAAGTAATTTATCCCCCACAGAACGAAGCACGTGAGAAGAAAAGGAAAAAAGAAAGAAAGAAAGGAAGGAGGAGAGAAAGGAGGAGAGAAGACAAAGCAGAGGAGACAACAGATTCAGACACTCACTGTGACGAAAGAAAAAAAAACTGGACGCCAACACATAGTGAAGAACCTTTGGGCTCGTTGGGTCAGTACCTACTTGTTACAGGGACATATGAAAAGGCCACAGCAGTTCCCTAAATCTTTTAAACTTTTCTCGGCCTCCTTCATGTCTTGGTTAATATGGTTCATGCCATCTTCAACACGATCCAGTTGTTCTGGTCAGGACAAAGGGATGACAGCAGTGGAATGAATTGTATTGACTATTTGACAGAAAGATATGAGTCAGGAGGAGCATTGAGCTGTGTGTGAGTTTCTATTGAGAGCATGCATCAGTACGATGGTTTAATATGAGGTGGATCTTCAGAGAGTACTGGGTACTGATTAAAGTCAAGACTGACACATTCAGTTTCCATAGATTACTTTTTAATTTCATTTTACAGAAGCCTTTTAGTGTTGGAGATTATGTTAATCACATATTAGTGGTTTATTAATCATTGTCTAGGAAAGAAATGGAAAATCTAAAGATATCACCCTTCACAATGGTTCACCATGGTTGTAGCTTCATGGAAACTTAGGGAAATCTGAAATTCTACCGATTCTATCCTACAGTATCCTTCCCCTAGGAAATACTGTATGCCGTTCACGGGCAGTGTGGTCTGTGGGGAAAGACATGGACATGGTGAAGGTGGCTGGGTGGGTGCTATTGGTGTGGCGTGGTGTGGTGTGAGGCAGGGTTGGGGTCAATTCCATTGTCAATTCAGCAGAAAGTTCATAATGAATGGAAAATTTACGATATTGTCTATGAGGATTTTTCTACTCATTAATTTAATTTCAATTTAATTTAAATCAAATTGGTGTGGGAGGGGTGACCCCCAGGTGGGTGGATGGACAACTCCGGGGTTGTAGTTTAGGAGACTGCGTAGGAATTACATGCAGTATGTGTTGTAGTGAGATGAGGTTGGAAGGTAGAGTAGAGTACGTCAGGAATACAGTCAAGGCAAAGCCTGTTGACACTATCCACCTTTGTAAAATCCCTGGCATTCTTTTATACTCATGTATTGTAGCGACAACTTAGTCATGTGACCATTACTTAAACAGCGAAGAATAAGAACGTAAAATGGAAATAATCAATGTATTTGCTAGTGGAACATTACCCTACCATATATTTTCCTTCCAGCTTTCTTTGTTATTTAATTTTGTGATTAATTCAAGCCTTGTGCACTGCATCAGCCTCAGGCTTCTCGACTACGATACCATCAGAGGGCAGCTAGCCAGGCTTACAGCCACCTCAGCAACCAGCAAGCCATCCAAATGGGCGGTATGTGGAGGCAACCCTGGAGCAGGTGGACGTTTATTGTCATGAGACTTGTCCTTGAGGCAGAACTAAGCGATTTCCGCTAGATGGGCCAGCTGCAAAGTCAAAATTGGCTATATTGTAAAAATACACGATTTTTTGGTGCTTTTTGGTCTTAATTTAAGGTTAGGGTTAGGCATTATGGTTAGCAGTGTGGTTAAGGTTAGGGTTAAGGTTAGGGTTATGTTTATGTTTATGTTTAAAATCAGATGTTATGACTTTGTGGCTGTACCAGCTAGCGACCACTCTGTAGTGCTGCATCCAGATCAAAATTATGATGAAAAACTGCAACCCTGGATGGATGGATTGCAGAAGGGGAGAGATAAGTGGATAGAGGGATGATAAAGATATGGAGGGATGATAAAGATATGGAGGGATGATAAAGAGGGATGATAAAGAGGGATGATAAAGATATGGAAGGATGATAAAGATATGGAGGGATGATAAAGAGGGATGATAAAGATATGGAGGGATGATAAAGAGGGATGATAAAGATATGGAGGGATGATAAAGATATGGAGGGATGATAAAGATATGGAGGGATGATAAAGAGGGATGATAAAGAGGGATGATAAAGATATGGAGGGATGATAAAGAGTGATGTGTGATCAAGAGGGATGGATTGGAGATGATGAGTATGGAGGGTGAGGGATGATAAAAGGGGATTGATAGATATGGAGATTATATGGAGGATATGATGGGGGATGATAAGAGGGATGATAAGATATGGAGGGATGCATAAAGTATGGAGGGATGATAAAGATATGGAGGGATGATAAAGATATGGAGGGATGATAAAGGAATGAGCAGATTACAGTGAGTGTGTAATTAAGGTCCTCAGTCGGGAGCTTTCCCCAAGAGGAACTGATCACTGCAGTCGAACCGGCCAATCAGAAGGCTAGATTGAGGCTAATGCCTTCCGGCAGGACAATTATGTTCTCTAGTCAATCCAAGCACAGCAAACCAGTGGTAATGCCAATAACCCACTACGCACACACTGGTTGAATCAACGTTGTTTCCACGACATTTCAATGAAATTACGTTGAACCAACGTGGAATAGACGTTGAATTGACGTCTGTGCCCAGTGGGAAGGTTCAACTGAACCAGGGTTTAGGCCCTGTTATTAGTTTCTCTATATAACATTAGTTATTGGTCACTATCAGGTGTAAATCATGTCTGTATTTTTTGTCTGCTTTATAGAGTAACAAGACTTTAAGGAATATGGATAACATAGTAATCCTTTAGTGCAGTCCAGTATGTGTTAAACATGTTGACTTGTACTGTTTGTGTCTGTGTGGCTACTTCCTTTCATGACATGTCATAATACAGTGCATTCGCAAACTGCATTTAACCAGGAATGATACAAAAGGGTGTTAAATTGTTAGTGTGTAAATCCATGGGAGAATGAGAGTGAATTTTGTCGTTAAATCGATCGTTTGTTTACTTCCCCCACTCTGAGACAGAACTGGTTTTATCACTACACCTTTGACACGTTGGCCTACTGTTCGGTTGGTAGCCTTTTAGGGACAAGCATCCATGACAGGGAGAAGTCACCCAAATTATGGATAAGTGGGCATCTCTAATTCAACTTTTGGCACAGAAATATAATGGAGACTTAAATGTAGTAAACATAGGGTGGTTGTTTGGGTGTTTGGCCTGAGAATGGCCCAATAATCTTTGCATTTGAATGTTCGAGGTATCCTTGTTGTCTTTGGGGTATGAACACAGTTAGAAAACCAAAGAAAAGCTGTTAGCGAAGCGAATGAAAAAACTGTTAACAAACCCAAAGAAAATATGTTAGCAAAAACAAATAATATAAGTTAGTGAAACCAAGGTAATGAAGTTAGCGAACCAAAGAAAATCTGTTAGCTCACCAAGAAGAGGCAGTTAGCAAACAAAACCATAAGTTAGAAAACGGAACAAAAAGAGTTGTTAGTTTCTCCGTCAGCTTTCAAACAAATTGTTGACCTGCAGTGGAAATCATAATAAAGCATGCATTGGGGAAGAAATTAAAATAGATGAAAATCATTGTTTCAAAGGGGGAGTTGGAGAAAACCTTTTAGTTAGGAACTGGCATGTAATGGATATGAGTAAGTCCACAGGAAACAATTAAACCATCAAGAATATCTCTATTTGTTTCTTTACATAAGCGTCTAAAAGATAACCATATGAGGTTTTTTTGTACCTTCATCCATATATCTGTCTATTTCAATGTACAAAGCACTTGAAAATAACTGAAGTTGAAATATATACGGTAGAATCTGTCATTCTAGCTAACTACTTCAAAACATGCACTGTTAAGTTATTCATATCAAAACATCAGATGCAAGGCTGGGAACGAAGTCCCATTGGGTTTCCCTTCTAGAAGACATCCAACACTTACCTCCTTGCTCGTCCAGCATAACCAAGGTCCTGATACCAGCATCTTTACTCTACTCCCCAATAACCACAGCGAAGAGAGGTGAAGAAGGAAGGGATGAATGGAAGGAATGAAAGACAAAGAGAGGTAAGATCAGTAAGGGAGGATATGGACGCCATATAGATTACAGATTAGAGTGCAAGGCAACATGATTGGAAAACAGAATAAAACCCCACCTCAAGCTTTAGACAAAGTTAGACCAAGGTCTTGCAATTTGCTCAACTTAAAATCTCTCAAGAAACAGTAACATTGTCCGAATCGCAACAGCCTGAGAACATTTGCATATTCTAACAGTTTCTGGTGTAATTTTAGGCTGGATTTGCCAACCTGTGAGTCTTTGACATTACTGTAACGGTTAGCGCTTTGGTTTTTTATGTTGTAGGTGTTTATGTTTAATAATATACATGTTGAGGGAACATGTATGGGGTCGCCTGCTACCCTCCTGTGTGAGGAAGTGGGGTCGTATTGATCAGGTTCAGAGGTTAAAGGCCAGGGAACATTAACCCTTTGTTTTGCATGACACATTGTAAATAGCTGACATACAAAGACGATTGATAAAAAAAGCTTTACATCAGATTGAAATCTGATAATAATGACTAAATCAGGCTTTACGTCTATTTACGATGCAGGCACAATCCTTTTTTTTTACAGTAGCCTATGGACCGCTATTCGATATCTGTGCACGATCATTTCCAGATCTTTGTTGGCCTTTCACCAATCACATCAGTGGATTAAAGTGCACTTGGAGACCTTGGGGTTCTGAAACTACATGAATAGCCAGCTAACACCACTCTCCGCGGGGTCAGTAGGAAGCAGATGTTTCCGGTTTTCAGGGATACAGTATTTTCAACCTAACTTCCGTTTCCCCTGAAGAACAGGTGTGGGGACTCTGTTCAGGCATCTTTTTACACATGCTATGTTAGGTTAGCCAACACTAAACATATTAGTAATCGATTGGCTTTAGATACAGATACAGTATGGACCTCTGGCCAGTGTGCAATGCGGCTAACAAAACAAAACCATCCTGATATCATGGAGACTTTTTCTTTCTGCTGTTTGACAGTTCCTGCCTGACTAATAAACATGTCACCTGGTGTGGAGCATGGAGATAGGCAGCAGAAGTAAGACAGCCTACCTCCCCTACCTCCCCTGTCTCCCCTACCTCCCCTGCCTCCCCTGTCTCCCCTACCTCCCCTGCATCCCCTGCCTCCCCTGCCTCCCCTACCTCCCCTGCCTCCCCTGCCTCCCCTACCTCCCCTGCCTCCCCTAAACAATTATAACGCATAATCATCTCATTAATCATTGCAGTCTAACTAATGTGTCCCTCTCTTCCTCTCTCATTCCCTCTCTCCATTATCCTCAATTTTCTCTTTTGTCAGACAGCCCCTCCCTCTATCTTCACCAACACTCGTCTGTTTGTCACGTCCGAGGTGCCGTTTTTCCTTCTTTCTTCCCCTCCCCCTCTCCCTCTCTCTCCCCTCCCCCTCTCTCTCTCCCTCTCTCTCTCCCTCCCCTCTCTTCCTCTCTCCCTCTCCCATCTCTTTCTCCTCCCCCTCCATCCTCTCTCGACGACCACGAGACACAGAGAGACAGACGAGCACCGAGCTCAGACTCGAGCCAAGTAGAAACGGCGTCCACGGGGGCCCTCGCCGACAATCCCGCAGGAGCCCGCAGCGTCTCCCACACCCCTCTCCACACCTTCCCGATCGAAGGTATCTACAATTCCTAAGATCTCATCTCTCTTGCTCTCTCCCTCTCCCTCTCTCTCCCTCCCCTCTCAAATCTCTCCTCTCGCTCTCTCTTCTCTTCTCCCTCTCTCTCTCTCTCCCTCTCTCCCTCCGGTGATGACAGGGAGGTGCTGTGCTGTTCGGTGAGATATATGAACTGACGATCAATATGACCTTGAGATATGTAGCACAAGGCTGTCATCAGAGACCTGTTCTCTCTCTGTTCTCTGTTCTCTGTTCTCTGTTCTC